TTTTAAAAAGCACATTGTGCATATAAAAGTCGAGTTTATACTAGTAGTACACAATGCTTGGCAGCATGAACGGCTATGTACAATGGCGTATACGAATGCGATCAGATACTAAAACGTCATAGCTTTGAAAAGTACCCGGATGTTAAATATGTTCGTTCGTTAATTATTCCCCTCCATGAATGGCCTCCATGGCAAGCACTTCAAATGCCTATCCAAACTACAGTTATAATTAAAACAAAATTAAACCACTGCAATATTATTTCGAATACAGTTTAGAATATACACAACTATAAATTAAGGTTCGCTTTAAGCATTTCAACATTTGCCTGTCGTGTACTGAGCAACGTATGCTTCTTTGACTTCACATATTCAAAATAATGAATTTTAAATGTTGTGGTAGAGGGCAGTGATAACACTGTCATTAAAAAATAAGAGCAAATGACAGAATACTAACTTGACACTGCCGGTGAAGTTAATACCACTTAGTTCAGGAGAAGCTGTGATTGTATTTCCAAATGTCGGTCCATCAGCTGGTAAAAACTGTACAACACCATCAGGGAGTCCGGCCTCTCTCAGAATATTGTATATTGTCCAACCGGATAACATGGCTGTATCACTTGGTTTCCATAAAACTACATTACCCTGAAAACGACAAGTAGGAATTGAAGAGCCCTCTAGTGATGAAATTTAAATATTCTTTTGTTTTCACGACATCATAGTGTATGGCAATACATGACAACCCCAGCAATAGTAATTTATGACATGGCATCAACCTAGGGATTTTTTTGTGCCTAGCAACAGTACCTAACATTGAATTCTTTTTTTTTTATATAAATGTAAGTGCTCATGAAAGATAAAACCATATTCCATGTTTGGGATGAAGTAACAGTTAACATCGTCCTAAAGTATTATGACAATTTAATGGCATTATCCTGGGATACACCAAGCCCAGTCGAACACCTAGAAGATTTTTCATTAATAGAAATTTTTTGTTTAGTCTTTTGTCACTCAGGGTAGGGGTGTCAATTTTTCATGTACGGTACATGTATGAGGGCGTTTTATCGAGATAAAAATGTTAAGAGGGAGCACACCTTTTTTAATATTGGTAACACTATTTGTTAGAACTGATCATATTCTACTGACTGATCCAGGTTTGGTTAGAGGGTGCAAGCCCGGGGTATGAGGGCGCTGTGCCCCTGTTCCCTTGTCTCGATTAACCCTTGAATATGAATCCCACTATGACGTTCCAGTGCGACTATAGAGGGACTGTGCCCTGGTTAAGAATACCATTACTACATACCATCATAGCAGGTGTACCAGCTAAATTACCAGCAATAGCAGTAAAATTAAACGGTGATATAGCTGCAAAGAATCCTTCCAATCCCCTATATTCCATGGTATTCACACTTTCCTTGGTGTCGATTGGCTTATACTGTGCGATATCTAGAGCATTTTTGGCATTAAATCTATAAAAATCTACAAGTTCAGCTGCTGCATCAATCTCTGCTTGCCACACATTTTTTCCCTGTAAAATAAATTGAACAAGTCATGCCACAACACGACTTTGTTAAATACTAAACGAAACATAATTAGATTATGTATGATGTAGTTGTAAAATTTAAATATTTACTTGGTTTAAATTTAGCAAAATAAATAAATATAAAATCTAATAATCAGTCCCATACTATACACACATACATATATATATATAAACAAATTTCTCAAAAATAAGACTATTGTGTATTTGGCCCTCTATAGTTAGGATCGGTTTCTTTATTTCTGTTCTGGTTTTGACACAGGACGCTTTTCAAAAATCATGGTCACTGATTAGCCAAATGTAGTCTATTGACAGCTGTGAAGTTTTATTTTCAGTTTACAATGTTTTATTTTTAGTCTGGCTTTGCGTTATTTTAGTTATCTTTTCTTTCTTTTTTTTCGAGAAACTGTATGATTTGTTCAAACAGTTTATTTTTTGTTATTTTCATTCTGTATTATTAATTTTTCAGTTTCAATTATATTTTCATTTATCTTTCTATTTCTGTTTTATTTTTATTCTGGCATTGAGAAAGATTATTACAACAGATTCTACACAGCAGCTGGTAATACAATAAACTTCTCTTACCTGCCCAATCATTGTTGCTGCCAGTATCATCGGTCTATATTTCGTACTAATTAAGTCAGCGGCTTTCAGAAAGATGTTTGTTCTCTCGGTTAATGGCCTGGCTTCCCATTCTTCTCTCACAGACAAGGCGTTCTCTATGGCTTTATTAATAAGCTCCTGCACAGAAAAACATCAATACTGTATCAGTAGTTACTCTATTACAGTACATCTCAATGCAAAAAGCCTACAAGCTTGACCTTCAAAAGGTCACACATCCTGGAACTTCTCTGGGGTATAAATTTACCATCAATTGCATAGTCTCAATAATTTTCCATCTAAATGCTGCTTAAAGTGCATTTTTGCTCATTTGATATCTGAAAAATGTACCTATTTTGTAAGATATACAGTACTTCTTCTATTACAAGCATATCTCCAATACATGTAGAAGCGCACATGAACCAAACATTTGTTGTCCACTGAATCATCAAAATATAACTTAATTTGATCAATAGAAACACCTTCAATAGAAACGCCTCTTAAAATTCTAAAATTCTAGACCGAATTTGAAAAACAATGAATTCTCGGGGCGAACATCCAGGCATTTTCACCACATGGCAACCACCACTGTGAAAACAAAGGCCGAAAACTCTCAAAAAACTGTTCTTTGGGGTGATTGTTGAGACTCTTCTGAACAGTGTAACAAGATTAGCCTTACATGTGTAACATATATCAATTTGATTGTTCAGGATTACTTCAAAGTTGAGTTCCTGTTTTCTTGAATTTTCACCGGCTCTTCGCTAAGCGTTCCACAGAAGCGCGCGCAGAAATACATAGAAATACATGGTACAGTGGTGCGCGTCTTAGCAACGGTGAACGTTCTGTGACATGAGGTAGCTCAGCCCCGGAGGATAACCACATTTTCAAGGTTTGCTCGCTTTCAATAGAGTACCTGCATTTACAATTATATATATCATACTTCCTCGGTCATAAGCCACTACCTGGGTATAAGCCAACCCACCCCTCTATTTTTAGACATTTAACAAATTAAGGGTCTTGGCTTATGACCAAAGCAATACGATAAATGTCACTGTTGTGAGTAGAATATTATAAACCAGTTTACAAAACTATCCACCAGTGATGTTTAGAAATTGCAAATATTTTTAAACAATATTTGTTCAATGGTATGTTGGAAAAATGGGGCTAATATCTAACAATATAAACTAGTTTTGTCCGGTTGCCATTATTAGAAATTAAAAATGTGAGCATTCCTTACCTTATCTGCAAGATGATATTTTGCTATTTTCCTCTGGTGATCAAATGGCTAAAAAAAAAATTAATAGCGTGATTATAAATACATACGGCAAGATCTGTTCTTGAGCAGTGTTAGATTATAAGCATTTTAAAGTTGCATTTCTATTTGAAAATGTGTGAGGTACCACCCCAACCAATATATATATACCATAAAATATTAACATGTGGACAGGTAGTGAGAAGTTAACTGCATAGTATGAATTCAGGAGAGCCTCTTAAGTTATATGTAACAAGCCATGCATGGCACAGTCCCCGTTAGTTATCAAATTTAAGATATATAGTTTTGTTTATAGTAATATAGTTGGAACATAAACATGTCAGACGTATGGATCCAGAAGATGATACTTGACTATGATGAACATTAAAATGATTGACATATCTACTTTGGAAGAAAATGCATCATATTTACACATTTTATTATGTTGTTCTGGAATCACATATTCGCAAAGTTTGAATGCAACTTCAAGAAAAATCACACTGCAAGCGAAGGATACCAGCTCTCATCCACAGATCTGCACTAACAGCACCGGCAAAACATTATATTACTAGTAATTCATTTTTATGTCAGGTATTTTATATCATAATTTATCTACAAATGTTACCTGCCTTGAATGCAATACAAGTTTGAATTATTTGATTGCACAGTTTAGATAAACCTGCTAAATTATGACCAAACTACACGTGTACCTTCCACCTGTTAACCCTTTGAGCACTAAAATAAACTCTTGTAACCTTTCACAAAACCTGCCTGCACATTTTTTTTTTAATTTTCACACATTTTGACCTGTAAAATTGGAAATTAAGTCTATTTGGTTTAAAATTAATAAAGAAATTATAGAAAAATATACAACAATCTGGAAAACGTAGCGACATAATTTTGTTAATAAAAAACCTCATGTTTAAATAGTTGATAACTTATTCCAAAATCAATGAGCGCAATTCTTTTTTTTAATTTTAATTTTTTCTTCAAATGATTTACACATTTTTAACTTTTAAGTTACTTACACAGACTTGATACAAGCAGTTTCCAGTAAATATTTTTTCACCACCAATAACAACTGGTATTTCTTCACACTTGCCTTCTAAATTTTTAAGTGCCTACAGTATGTATAGAAATTCAAATAACAGAAAATATTTTATCAAATTATAAATGCATTATTTAATATTTCAAGCACACTTGCAGGTCGCCCACATGTACATAAGTGTTTGTTGTAATAAGTACATAACTATCGGAAATAAATTTGCACAAAGTCAGAGAACAACCACTCTTGACATATTTACAAATGTAGAGGATGAGAAAGAAATACACATTGGATTTAATTACATTCGCTGGGATACAAGATTTTAAATTCATTGGTTAGTGAAGAAAACAGTTGATTCTATTTCTACATTTGAATATTCACAGGGTTTTAATTTAGTGAATGTTAGTGAAATAAGTGATGAAAACCCAGGTAATTAATCTCAGTAAATTTTTAATTAATCTCAGTACATTTTTTGTGTAGTACTAGTATATGCATTTATCAATTGCATTTCAATTTTAGTAAGGTGGGAGGTAGCCAGGTTTGTTTCCAAACAAAAATCGTCTACTTGCCCCAAAATCAACTCGGGGGGCAGGGGGGGGGGGCACACAAAATGCGATAAAAGGTGATGACAGATGGGTAAGAGGTCACAGATCAGAGGAGTGCGGGGTGAGTTTGGCTGAGGACAAAATATGCCAGAAGCAAATGATGTAATCAGCTGTTCTAATCTTACAACATCCAGAGCAATTTTAATGACAATATGTTGGTGGCTTTTACTTTAAAATATACTAAGGAGAACAAAACAATCAAGAAAAAAAATATTTGTGTGAACAAGTAGATATACAGACAGAAAGAAAAGATACAGTATCAGATTATTTTGAAACCAAAATCACAGTCAGTGATTCTACGTTCTTACACCCTTCCAAAATAAATTAAAACTAAAACTGGACGCTCAAAACTATCACATCAGTGTCTGTAACTGACCTCTTCAAGTTGTTGCCTCTCAGTACTGCCTTTAGTAAAATCATATAATGGTTCGTTTGCAACAGTCAGGGTGGCCATGGTTTGTATCCTAAGTGGTGACCTGTAACGATAAAACAGTTTAAACTACAGATAATTCTTTGCTTCTAAAAATACTGATATGCATGTAAATATATTTAATATATAATTTAATATATAATCACATATTTTCTTAGTTTGATGTCAGCACTCATAAGGGATTACATCACCAGACTTTTGTATCAATCTATGTCGTCTGGTCTGCCACGAACAAGGACAGCTTCAGCAACAGTATGGCCATATGGTTTTTTTATGATTATAGCAACTTTATTAGCAAAAATATTAAAAATAACATGGTAAAATGGTATTCATGCAAGTCCTACTAGTCTCAAAACTGTTCTATATCAATTCTAAAATTCAGTATTTGATAAAAATATATGGAAATAGTTCCTTCTGCGCCTTACACACTGACTCCTAATTGTCCCCTATAGATATGTGCTGGGGCACATACAATTAAATTGGGGAGTGCTGGAGGGGAGGCGTAGGATTAGAGTTCGGGATGCAAAAAGAACTCTTTCCAAATAAATATCTGAAGTAAATATTTGTTCAAACGGAATAACAATGACATGTTTCTCCATTTTTAATGTACCTCGAATTTTCGAAACTACAGGGTCATAGGAAATAAATGATCAAATGGATTTTTCGAAATCAGTTTGGATGATATTATTTATATTTATCCTTACATGTAGGTAAACGACAGGTGTTTCTATATGTAAACAAAAGGTGTATTTCAACCATCCATCACACACTAAAGGGCAATATTTTTGTTGTGCGTGTGCTTGTGTAGAGAGATGCACGTCTAATAGAATAAATAAGGTAAATAATTTCACACTCGTTGGCAAAAATTAGATTTCCCAAAAAATATGTAAAGGATTTATTATATTTGGCAAAAACGATTATAAATATAATCAGAATCAGTTGTAATTCTATCATACACTTTCAATAATAAAAAAAAAGTTGAGTTTTTAAAAAAAAAATCCAGAAGTCACTTTTGATGTTATTTATCTAATACACGAATGCAACTCGTGTACAGACACTACCTACCAGGAAAAAAAAGACCATGCCAGCGTAAAATTTATTTGGACGCCAAATCAGGCGACTGTACTGTGTAGAAGGTTCAGACATTTGAAAAATAGGTCACGTGATGAGGGCATAACCCGTGAAGTCACTGAGCAGATATTGACAGCAAAGGTACTGCAATGCTTGTCTGACAAAATGCAATCACGAAAATAACCCCAATTTTTCAATTTGCCTTGCATAAAAAATACAAATCACCACTTGAATGAATGAATGGTCGCTATTTTTTAACCGTACTCACTATTTGAAGCCTAGAATTCAACAGAATTTGGGTAGCAGCCGCCGCACACGCTATCTATTGGTCCCGTGCAGTGAAAAGGTCAACAAGGAAAGACCATGTGAAACGCGGCATGCTGGGATACCAGAAGGCACAACTATTTTTATATAGGGGTGTGCAAAATAGTGATGGAGGGGCACATACTCATCTCAGTACTATCGAGCAACATAATTAATAATTTAACTTGAGTTTTCTATTTCAATTATTAATTATTTTGTTGTAAATTTCAGTAACAACTAAATTCAAAATACTAAATATTATCAATTATTATAAATTAGTTTTCACTTTCTCACTCTGTACCATACAAATGAAAATACATTGGTAATAATTTACAAGGCATTGTTTTGTAAATATATTATTATAATTGATTTAATATTGATTTAATTTTGACAACAATTATTTGTTGTGATAACTCTATCCGCTTCCTGAAGAACATTTTAATAAAGGAACAAACAAACATTAGAGGGCGCTGTTTTGGTGAAATGAAATAACCACATTTTTTCAAGTTAAATAAATTTTGAAAAAATGTAATACAATGTATTTGTGGATTATGTTAGTTAACAGGCTATTAATTTGGGAGATAGAGATGTAAGTATTTTGATTTTTTGTCCAAATTTGTGTCGTTAATTGATGCATTAGTGTGATTCCGTGTACACAAGGATATATTATTTTTGTTTGCGATATACCAAAGTCAAAATCTCTGGTTTGCATGCTATTAAATGGCCCTTGAATAATAAACTAATTATGATAGACAACAGTGACTATAAATGTTTGAAACTGTTGACTGCATACAACAACAAAAAATAAATAAATAAAATGAGTCACCACAAGAGGGCATAGTACAAATATGAAGTGATTTATTGATATAACTATGCAAAATAGCTAGACATTTTGAGCAACAATTTTTCTTTTATGCTATCGATAAAGAACCATTGATCAAAGTGTACACTAGATTATTTAAATTTTACTTTATTTGGCCATAGACACACCACTGATATTTACATAAGTGTATGTGCTACAAATAGATCATATGCAATAGTGAAAAAAAAATCGAAATAAAAATGCTTGCAATACATTTTACTAGATTACTTTTTAATTCAAATCTTAAGCTAAGAAAAAGGTTTTCCAAAATTTATTCTTGTGCAAATTTTTTTTTTCTGAAAATTAACTGAAAACGTAACATACCGGTAATACTTGACAAAAATTATAGCTGACATTTGCAATCCCCAGAAAATTGTCTGTACCTTATCTTCAGTTCACACTCAGACTAGTAGTACAACAGACTCGCAACGCCTATTGTTTAAGGTGTTAATCGGCTTAATTGTATATGCTATGTGTGCCACGCTCGGTAGTACCGAACACCGGATATTCTGCACACTTCGCGCTTCTTTGGAAATTGCGTATTTCTTCGTAAAATGGATCCGGACATTTTTAAAACAACAGGAGATGCGGTCTGGACATTTTGACCTTTGCAGTTGTGTACGAATTTTAAGAATCGACCAACATTTAGGCGAGTTACAAGTAACTGAATGTCTTAGTATATACCTCAAATACATGTAGTTTTTGAATATATAATGAGCAACTTTTAAACAATATTTCTCGCCGTTGCGGATTTTGCGGAAAGTTTCTGACATACCACTTTGTGTGTTAACAGTTTTTTTTGTGTGTTCCGGGGTGCTGAAATATGGGATAGCTGGTGTCATATACATGATATCTCTCAGCGTATCAGCGTAAGCCGGTTATCAGTAAAAACTGGTGCAGGGTGATATTTTTGTCAAGTTCGACTTCATAGTACGTGTTATATGCGTTGTTCGTAACTATTGTCTTCAGATTCGCTAATTCTTCCAAATTTCGGTGTGGTCATGGAGGTAATAAGAAGTATCTATGTCTCGCGATAGTTGATTGGAATATTAAAAGATCTTGCATTATTTTGGTATAATCTTGTTGCTCCACAACGTTTACTCGGTACGATAAGACCTGATAACCTAAACAAACGTGGCAAGCATTACTTCAAAAGAAAACGCCGTGTTGCAAGTCTGTTGTATTACTAGTTATACGTTCACATCACAAAACTGAGTAGCTATCAAATTTGTTGAGCAAATATACAAATTAATACTTCCATAATCTAGTACCCAGACAGATACAGGATAAATCTTTATAATGACTACAATATACGGTAAATAAAAACATCAACTTTTTAACAACATACATGTACAAAATGTAGTTATGTCATCATCAAATTAGATACAATGATACTTCCTAGATGCATATTTTTGTGTTAACCTTTTGACCACCATAGTCAACTTTTGCCACCATCTACATTTTGTAGTCTGCTCTTCCACACATGAAATGATGATAAAAATTGACAAATCTTTTGATCAAAAACTAAATGCAATATCTGAAACTGTCCTTATAGACCAAAATCATGACAAAATTTAGTGAATATTGCACAAAATGTGAAAATATTTGAACTGAATTTTGAGCAGAAAAATATCTGGCACTCAAAGGATTAAACATAGGCTTCTTAATCCCCAGGACTGACCCATTGAAGTATGGGATACTATTGTTCTTCATGTTAAACAACTAGTCTGTCTCCTGTTTCCCACAATCTTTTTAATTCTGAATCAGTGGAAATTTTAATATTGTAAACTGAAAATTTATCCAAGAATCAACTGAGGCTAAAAATTAGGAGATATTCTTTTAACCTTTTGAGTACCTTTTATTTTTATATTCCTATAATTTTGGATCAAATGTGCATATTATATTGTCTACAGGTTTGGGACAACATTTATTTTCTTATAATATTTGTGTTAATTTTGGACTGAATATGCATATTATAATGCCTAGATTTATTTTTTTCCTATAATTTCTGTGTTAATTTTGGATCAAATGTGCATATTATTATATTGTCTACGGAACAACATTTTTCAAAAAATATGGAACAAACTATTCATGTTATTGTATCACGGTATGTACCTACTGTCTAAATTTAGAACCAAACACCTGGTACTAATAATATTATCATTTTATCAAATAATTCCGATATGAATTTGGAGCAGCTCATAAATACTTTTATCAAAAACATTTTATTAAATCAGATCAGTACTAAATTGAGAACTTTTTTAGAATAATTGAGCTAATATCTTACAATAACTATACTTATTAAGTTATAACAATGAAAAAGACATCACAAAGAATAAATAACTAAATAAAAATATTAAATAATAAATTAAAATTAAATTCCAAATTGTGCAGTTAATATACATTTGGATAAACAACAAACAATCCTGGATAGCTATCCAAGTAAGCTATTTTGACAGCCCCATGGTAACAATAAAAATAATGTTCCTTTGCATCTTTAGAAATAACATTTCATAACTATCAGTGTACAGCAATAAAGTGTTAAGATGTAAAATACTCGTAGTTTAAAATAAAAAACAGTCAGAAGTCAACGAACTCTCTCCTAATAGACAAAATGTTATATAAATATTCTCCAATCTGTCTGACAATGTTGTCTTTTGTTTTACTCATTAGGTAAAACTGAAGAAATAGTAAACTGCTGTTTCAAACATTTTTTCATTGAATTGAAAAATTAAGTCCAAAACAAATGTGGCACACATCCCTCTAAAGAAAAAGCCACATTGGTAATGTGTTCTTTAGTGGTCAGAGATTGTATAAATCATTTACAACCTTTTAAATTTTGTGATGTCAGTTCAGACATGTACACATCCAGCGATATCACAGACATACCATTCTTATCACACTCCACAATGTTTACGAGTTCACTTAGTGAAAACTACTAGAATTCAACAGATGTTAAAAGTGGGTCAAATCATAATACAGATTATCTAATTGTTATCTGAATACAGTTATAAGTGAACATATTGTCATTTGTAAAGCACATTGACAATATGCATTGTTCATCCTAAGACGTCATTATTTTACTGTAAGTTTGACACATGATTGTTAAGTTTGAGACGAGTGCCACATGGACGGTTGCTGAGTAGAAAACAAGTTTTCAAAATTATCACAGTGTGAGCCATAAAATAATTGTCATTGTAAAATATATCACAATAATGATAATAAACTGCACACTGTGCCATATTAGCGACGTTCACGTTAGCGATACCATCTGGCTTTTGCACAAGCTGATGATCAGAATTTACAAATTTCTATAAATACAGGACAAACTCAGGTCATAGCATTATAGAGGAATTAACACATCGCATGGGATTTGACAAATCCAAACTACTTTTGATGATGGTCAATTTTGAATAGGTAATATTTTAATGCCATAATCCCCTTTGAAAGATTGGCATTTTGACATTGAATCATGAAAAATAGAAACCATTCTATTGGCTGACTGAATAACATCAGCACAATTTCAAATGACATTGCTGCAAACTGGGCTCATTGATTGGCTGGTTTGATTCAACTGCCAATTAAGTACCTACAGAACCTTCAGGAAAGATATAGAAATAGAAATCTACCTACTAGAAATTAAAAATGAAGAACTCCTTGAAATTCTAACCAAGTTTGGATTAAGTAATCACTCACTAAGAAATTGAGTGCCTTTAGAACAAAGAATATGTAATTACTGTACCATCAATGAAATCGAAGATGAGCAACACTTTGTTATGTCGTGCCCAATTTATTGCCACCAGAAAAATCAACTCTTCACAAAAGCTGAACAGCATGAAAATGCTTTCAAGAATTTGAATCTCAACGAAAAGTTCATTTTCTTATTAAGTTGCCAAAAAATGGCAATACCTCTTGTTCAATACCTAAAATTTTTCATTTGACTTGAGGCAGCAACACCATCATAACTCTATTACATAATTGGGTCACTAATAATGAAGTATAAGTGTAATAGTTTGATTCATCAAAGTATATTTTACTTAAAGTTTTGTTTTTTTCCTCTTTTGTAGTTCTTAGTTATTTTTATTAATGTTTGTATTGTATTTTCGTTCATTGTCATGTATCGAATTTCATCCATTCCAATGGATGTTAAGTGATTAAAGATTATTATTTTTGCAATTTATTAATATTTAAAAAGATAATTGATAGCCGTTGTTGCACCAAGAATAGTATAGCATAAACTATTCAAACAACCATATCTTTAAAAATTAGGCATTTATTTCAGACAAATGTGTCTATATAAAAAAAACACATGCACACAAAAAATAACCAGAAAATAAATAAATAAAAATATATATGGAAATCAATTAATATTTTACTGTGATACTACACAATTAGGCCAAATGTGTCAGTACATTAGTATATGATTTGATTCAAACACTGTAATATAAAGTAGTTAATAGTATAGTATGGTATATTTTATTTGACACTAAATAATATATTTTGTTACATTATGTGTGGTCAAAGGACATTAAATATAATAAAACACAATATACTATGGGACAAGCATGCAGCTCTCTAAATTACATTTCTGTAAATTTAAAAAAAAAGGATTTGACATGATTGGCAACAAACATAGACCAGGCACTGTGGTCATATGGGTAGCCGAAAAGTCTCTGAAATATGTTGTTATAATTATACATGTACCATGGAGATTTGGTGTACGAACAGGTACTGACATGTTGTAAACCTTCAGGGCATTGACAATCATTTTGTTTGAAAACAAAAGTTGAGAATCTTTATAACAAGATATTTTATAACAGTAGACATATAAAATCAGAGCTGCAGTTCCAAAATTTCCAAAAAAAGTAGGTTAGGTCATGGAACTACAAACAAAGGTGTTCTATATAGTTCCTTGCACATGGTGTGCTGTAATGTATTGAGCATTGGCAGATATTGTACACATTACCCTTCATATCCCACGTCATCATTTGACACTGATATGGAAACTGCGAGACAAATTCCATGTTCTGTCCCCATACGGCCAACCGAAGGCAGAATTTTTAGTTTTGATATAATAAGTCTGTACCCTGTTTTTTTTTTTTTTTTAATCCTTCTCATTGTATAACTACCTCGCATTTAAGAAAAAAGTTTGGGTCATGTTTCACCCCACAGAATTCGAAGTATCAACTCAAAAAAAAAAAAAAAAAAAAAAAAATTGTCTGTGGCCCCTATTTTTTCACATACGACTTTGTATATCAATTAATTCACAAATATCTGTAATTTTTATTAAATACAAGGTATCAAAATTGTTTTCTTGAATCACATCTTGGAGAGTTTTAAAAATACCAACAAAAAATAACTGAGAAGAAAAAAATTATAATTTTTCAGTTGATATATAATTATTATTCAATTAATTCCAACATCTGATGCATGATTTGTTTCAAGCATGGAGGATTAACGCCTCCATGTTTCAAGCCAGTAAAAATACGGCCATACATGGGACCATGATCCACAGTTAACCGGTATATATTAAGTTCCTTTTAGCCGGTGCTGTAAGAAACACAAACCGCGTGAACTGAAACTTGCGATCGCATTAAAATGCAGGGAATTTACCTTTGAATTCTTCTAAAGACTTGCAGCGTGACAGTCAGCATATTGACTCTTGACCTCGGGGGTGTCCCCGGTACACGTAAATACTCTGAAAAATGTGTAATTTCGTTGAGTCGGACAGCTCACAAACAGCCGATCAGCCGATGTCAGGTGACTGGAATCCGTGGCCCCAGCTGCTTGAGGTCACATGTATGGTATACAATTTTCTCAACTTACAGCGCATACGCGTTAAATAGAACTGATAGTGTGTCCCACTAGTAAAATAACTCGATGAACAGTGGGTGATTGATGGAGTAAAATAGAAAAAAATGCTTCAATGTGCGGGCATCTGACAGAGAAATAATAATGGCAGTAGTATACCACGTTTCGTAATTTGGAGGTGTGTCACTGTCGTCAAAATGTGTAGGGTTTATAGTTCCATGGTGTAGCCAATCAAATCGCGTTCCCACTCGAAGGCATTTTCGAACTAGTTGCGAATTAACAGCACAAAATTGAAATTACGCCACAGACACGGACATTTGTTGCATGTCGTATATTTGTTGACTGACAGATGTAACTCAATGTTATTAACATAATTTTAAAGACACATTCAGTCGAATTATTCGTAAAGTGTGACGAATACTTGTCTGATAGTGATATTTGCAAAGCTCATTACCACACAGCTGACCGTATGACCTGAACTTGAGGTCAGATATTGAGCTGTGTTCGTTCGTTGACGGCTGATATATTCTAACTGTTAATCATAAATTAACGAGATAGATTTACAAGTAGAATCCCGAAATGTTCAAAAACCGTGTCATCCTTGCTTATACTGACGTTGCTGCTGCAGGAAGGTATATCACTTATAATATTTCTTGTTTCGATTATGGTGTTACTTTGAGCTTGAACAACTTCTTTTAAGTTTAACAAATCAGAGCTGTTTATTGAGTGTGAGTCGGCTCGGCAATTACACCAAATGTAAACTAGACCAGGAGCCAAGAGGGCTAAGAATCATAGCGAAGTGAAATTGAGTATTGAACGAGTTATGAATAGAAAAAAAAAAAACCTAAAAAAATTGTGAAAATGACTTGGCAATGTTTAGTTTAGTTTTAGAGTTCAGTGATCGAATACTATTTATGTGAATATATCCCTGGATTCACGTCACTTTAGGATTGGGTTATATCATTCGTTCAGTCATTGATTTACTACTCACCCAAACACAGTCGACCAAATGTAAATATCACCCCCTCTCACAACTTGCCGAGGGCCCTATAATCCGTAACTCTTATTCTAACCATGCCCTCAGTGCCCCCCCCCCAATTTCAATTGTATATGTTCCTCTTCAGGATATGTATAGTTATTTGGAGGGTATATACATTTACATCGAGGGGCTGGAGTGTGAGGGTTAGGGCCCAGGTTAAGGATTGGCGGGGAGTGGGGGCTTGAGAAAGTGTTTCCTTTATTAAAATTACATCTCCGCTAGAAGCGCATATAAACCAAAATTTATTGTATACTGAATAATTAAAATATGACTTGTTTTGAACACAGTAATACCTTAGTACATGTAATTTATGTTAACGCATGCCCTACTAATAGAGCAAACAAGGTATATGCTGGATCATTAAAATATTTGCACTATGATCCGCCTATTATAGAAAAACATGCATTTCTAGTTGAAGCGGGAGGGTTGTCACCTGCGCACTCGCGGGAATTGAGTCTCAAGCGGCGATAACAACACACGCTAAAACGCAAAGGCTCGTGGGTAGACGCTTGTTTTCTAAACAATGACACGCTATGGCCACCTGACGCATGCGCAGGTGACGACTCCCCCGCTTTAAGCAAATGGGATATGCTAACATTTTGTCCGTCAGTCAGTCACAATAATAGACTTTTTTTAAAAATTGGAAACACATCATTGCCATATGGTCCAATAGTTTCACTAAAATTGTAAAATTTTACAGCAAAAAACGTTTTGTGATTTTTATGATTCCTTTGGTTTTGCATACAACAAACAGAATTTCAATACATTGTCATTTTAAATATTACACTGGTATATAATTATTATTTTAACCTTTTCACCACCAGTTCTCTTTTTAGCTCCGCTGTCGACTTTGTCGACCGGAGCTTATCATATGAGTGATTGTCCGTCGTTGTCCGTGTCAATGTTTTACTTTTTCGACTTCTTCTTGAAAACTACAAGCCTGAATGCTTTGATACTTGGTGTATATGTACCTTGGGTAGACCTCTCTCAGGTTTGTTCATTTCATGTTGATATCTTCAATTCTCTAATTTTGGTGAATATTTTTGTTATTTTTGGTAAAAAGTGATATTTTCGACTTCTTGTTAAAAACTGCAAGTGCAATTGCTTTGATATTACATTTATAGGTACTACATGTGGACCTCTCTCAAGTTTGTTCATTTTGTAATGATATCTTTAATTCTCTAATTTTGGTGAATATTTTTGTCATTTTTGGTAAAAAGTGATATTTTCGACTTCTTGTTAAAAACCGCAAGTCCGATTGCTTTGATATTACATATATAGGTACTACATATGGACCTCTCTCAGATTTGTTCATTTTGTGATGATATCTTCAATTCTCTAATTTTGGTGAATATTTTTGTAATTTTTGGTAAAAAGTGATATTTACGACTTCTTGTTAAAAAACAATAGTTCAATTGCTTTGATATTACATATATAGATACTACATGTAGACCTTTCTCAGATTTGTTCCTTTTGTGATAATATCTTCAATTCTCTAATTTTTGTGAATATTTTTGTCATTTTTGGTAAAAAGTGATATTTTCGACTTCTTGTTAAAAACTGTAAGTCCGATTGCTTTGATATTACATATATAGGTACTACATGTGGACCTCTCTCAGATTTGTTCATTTCGTGATGATATCTTTAATTCTCTAATTTCGGTGAATATTTTCGTCATTTTTGGTAGAAAGTGATATTTTCGACTTCTTGTTAAAAACTGTAAGTCTAATTGCTTTGATACTATACATATTGTTCATTTTCTAATGATGTCTTCAGTTTTTTAATTGAAATGTGCATTGCTAACAGCGGAGCTATCTCAGCCGATAGGCTGCTTGTTTCATTACGAAATCTACCTTTCTACTGTAAGTAACACTTTTCCCTGTGCCAAACTATTACAGACCCTTTTACCAGACCAATGCCAATTTCTTATATTTCTACAGCCGGGCAGTATTTGGCATAGATCATAAGATATCCTATAGTTCTTTAGACATTGCTGAGCTATCTGATAAACAACCATCCTGTGTAAGAGAACAACCTGCATCACCTGTGATGTGTGAATTTGACAAAATACAAATATTGAACTGTATCTATGAAGAGGTAAGAAACTCAATTATTAGATCATTTGCAGATTTCAATGTCACATGATATTTTTGTCTGAGTGAGTCATCAAATTCGCCATCTTTTTCATTCCATAGCCATATCTGCGAGTTTCTGTTTTATTTTTGTGACAGGGGTTTTCTCCATTGGAAGCACATCTCTCATAAAAGCGCAGATAAAGCAAAAAATAGCTTTTTGTTTTTATACGCAGGATCAATAAAATACTCATTTTGACCACAGATTCATTTCCATTTCCACTCATTTTCAAGTGCATGTGTTACTAAATAGAGACAATATGGTACCAGGGTAGTCACTAAAATATTCCTCAAAGACAGGGTAACAAAATATTCATGTATATGGTTAATATTACGCACTACACAGTTTTCAAAAACAAATTTTAAATAAATTTTGTGAAAAAACAAATGACACAAATTTCTCAGTTTAAGATGCAGTTATTTGTCAACAGATAGTTAAAGGGCTGTGGTCATCTCATAGCACGTTTTATGTAAACTAATATATTGAACATGGCTTATTGTGGCGACCACCATCCTTTAAAGATGGTGAGTAAAATAAATATATGTTTGTTTGCCTTGAGTTAATTGAAAAAGTCAGTGTAGAGACTGTTAGCTACTCGTGGCAAAGATGTGCAATCACCATGTTTGCTATTACACACAGGTTCATTTGCCTAAACAGGTGCCAAAATGGACACTGGTCACACTGGACAGGTGGCCTTGACAAAAAGGGGATGTACTGCACATGACTGCTTAAAGGTGGTCACTATAGGCAGGTGGTCTTTTATATAAAGGTCACTGTACATGACTGCTTAAAGGTGGTCACTATAGGCAGGTGCTCTTTATATAAAGTCACTGCACATGACTGCTTAAAGGTGGTCACTGTAGGCAGGTGGTCTTTATATAAAGGTCACTGTACATGACTGCTTAAAACTATTCACTATAGGCAGGTGGTCTATATATAAAGGTCACTGCACATGACTGCTTAAAGCTAGTCACTATAGGGAGGTGGTCTTTATATAAAGGTCACTGCACATGACTGCTTAAAGGTAGTCACTATAGGCAGGTGGTCTTTATATAAAGATCACTGCACATGACTGCTTAAAGGTAGTCACTATAGGCAGGTGGTCTTTATATAAAGGTCACTGCACATGACTGCTTAAAGCTAGTCACTATAGGCAGGTGGTCTTTATATAAAGGTCACTGCACATGACTGCTTAAAGGTAGTCACTATAGGGAGGTGGTCTTTATATAAAGGTCACTGCACATGACTGCTTAAAGCTAGTCACTATAGGCAGGTGGTCTTTATATAAAGGTCACTGCACATGACTGCTTAAAGCTAGTCACTATAGGCAGATGGTTTTTATATAAAGGTCACTGCACATGACTGCTTAAAGGTGGTCACTATAGGCAGGTGGTCTTTACTAACATAAGTGTTATTTTATATATTTATCTACAGTACTCTATAGTTGTGCTGAATACAGTACTTTGTGGTGAGGATTGCCATCATGTTGTCAATAGAATCATGGATGAATGTGCAAACAGGTAATCATTTAAAAACCTACTTGAAGAAGATTTAATACAGATAAAGAGTGGATCATTTTAAAACCTTTGCTGGGTAGGAGAAGTGCAAATATTTGTTTTCTTCTGTGGAAAATGTATTCCCTATGAGCCAGAGGAAAAAAATACTTTCTGATAACCCTACCTACCCATGTATTTGCTTAAACTTAAACTTTTATTTTATGCAAATGAGTAAATTTTCATGCAAGTTTTGTTTTTATGCAAATTTTACCCTTAAAATAATTTTTTTTCATTTACTTCTTTTGATGTAGTGGATGGCCATAACATGACTAAGAAAATTCACTATTATGACTACCTTGCAATTGGTGGCTGTTGTTTCTTATAATTGTAATAAAAAAAACATATTAAAAAAGAAGGATTTTGTTCAAAATTAGTATAAACATTAGACAATATGTAGTTTTGGAGCTATATTTCTGACATGTCCTGAACACTCATCTTCAAACTTTACATATACATCATGTCGTAAATGTGCATAGTTAATCATCTGGTTATATGACTAAAAATGGCTGAATTGTGGTTGTTTTAATGTTAACAGTTTCATCAAAATTAAGCATTTCTGCAAATCTGGGTCAGAATCTGGGTTATTCGTGTTCAAACTTGGTATGTACATTAAACTTTGTTTGTCATGTTGAACGCAAAATAGCTGTCTGGTGGCCATTTTGTTTCAGTGAATGCAGTTTTGGAGCCATATTTCTGACGTTCTCTGAGTGTCCATGTTCAAAGTCAATATATTTCTTAAATGTGTTTTTAATTGCGTCTCCAAAAGAAATGCAAATTACATTTGCAAGCTGGATCATTAAAATATTACTTGTTCAACCATAAACTCAGCTGCATGCACATCATTTACATAAGCTCAATGCATTATTGAAAGAGCAAATACAATATTACAAATTTTGGAGTTGAGAAATAAGCTTTGTGCTGTAATTCATTACCAAACAAAAAAATTCAATTGCAAACTGATGTATTTTAATTTTTTTCTGGGAAAAAACAACTTGAGTGGCCAATTTTGCATTTCAATTAATTAATATTGGATGTACATTTTTGCAATGTGAGTTGATTTCTATCATGACATGTTTTTGAATTCAATTATTGAAATACATGTTCTAACAAGTAACTTTTTAGCATGTTACCTATTATGTTTTGGAATGTCTATTGACAATGCCTTACAGATGAATGTATAATTAATAAAAATATATTCATAAGCCTAATTTATTATTTGCATAATTGATATTGATTTTTGCAATTTGCTGCTGTAAACTATGATTTCTAAATTTTAGTGGGACTTGAAGCGACACTGTAATCTGTGTAAAATAATGATTTTGCCGCTATGTTGTCTTGT